GCCCTTTGAAGCCTGTTCTCGCAGCTGTAAGTTTTCACCATGTCATGAATTTTTCTTTTATTTCTCCCTTTTCTAATCCACAATTTTGGATTTGCAGATGCCTGTCCAATCCCGTGCTGTTTCAACCATCACAGCCTCCTTTGCTGACCCAGAATTGGCTGAATTCGAGGCTATGGACTTGGACGCCCAACTGGACAGGCTGGAGAAACTCAGTTCTACCCCTAACAAGACCAAATTCAAAGCAGTGGATGAGGCCATGGAGAGGGTGAAGGTCTGGCAATCTACTGAGCTGGAACTGGAGGAAAATAGGGAAGCTGTAGAACAACTGATGAAAGATCTGGACCTGCTGCACAGGCAGAACATGGCTCCTAGGCCAATTCTTGAGATAAGTCTGAACCTGGCCAGAGATGTGCTTAACCTTCGCGATCGCTATGAGGATCTCAAGCCTACCTTCGAGACTTCTGAACTCTGCAAGACAACTCATGACGCTAATTTGGCTGATTATGCAAAACAGAAGGCAGAACTGGATCAGATGGTCGCGGGGTACAAAGAGGCCAAGGCTACTGCAGACAGGCTGGAGAAGCAGATTGAGGAGCTTCAAAAGCAGCTGGCAGAACGCAGGGAGGTACAGCGCAGGCTGGGTGCTGGACTGAGCTCCAAGACTAAGGCCACTTTCCTGGTGCAGACCATGGTTTCAGCTTCCAGGCCAGCTTTGGAAGTTGCAGAGGCTTCAATCCACCAGGGAGTACTGCTTCAGAAGGAGCTCTCGATTAAGAAGACGAGTCTGCAAGAAACCCTTAGAAAACTAGGATTTTAACATTCAAATTTTGGAATTGTAATGAACTGGTTGAGTCACCAAAGTGACTATTTGAAAATGAAAGTTTATTTATTTTTTGGAATTTTGATTTCTCTTGACAAACTGAAATAAAAGATTATACTAATACCGAATTAAATCTTAAAACAAGATCAAACAACAGTTTCAAGTTGTTGCCTTTCTATCCCAGGATCTGTCTGCACAGCCTGTGAATCCCACATAGTTGGATAGAATTTCTTTAACCATTTGCCATTGATTGGCGCAGCATGGACTTCTCCATCTCGATCCTGTAGTCTGTACGCCCCTAATCCTAGGACTTGGTTAATTATGAAAGGTCCTTCCCAAGTTGGTGACCATTTTCCATAACCAGCTATATGTGTTCCGAGGGGCAGAACTGCTTTCCAGACTATTTCTCCTTCTTCAAAACTCTTGTTTTTAACTCTCTTGTTATATGCTCTTGACACAGCCTGTTTTCCTGCTAAGAGTTTGTTGAGGGTATCAATCCTACTTGCATCCAACCCTTCCAGTTCTAACAACATGGCCTGGTTGTAGTCTTCTCCCACTAGTTCGTGTTGATGAGCAATTCTGAGGGATTGAACTGCAATTTCCATAGGCAGAATTGCATCGTGTCCATAAGTTAAGGCATACGGAGTCATGCCAGTTGCTTCCCTTTTTGAAGTTCTGTACGCCCACAATGTTTCTGACAGTTTCTCATGCCATTGCTTTGGATTTTTCTCAAGCATTTTTCTAATAATATTGATTATCACTTTGTTACTTGATTCTGCCTGTCCGTTGGCTTGAGCATAATAAGGCGTGGATTGGAGTAGCTTAAATTTGAACGCTTCTGCCATGTTCAGCATATCTCCGGATATGAAAGAAGATCCCCTATCGGTAGTGATTGATTCTGGAATACCAAATCTCTGTATGATCTGTTCCTCTATGAAAGTGATGATTTCTTGAGACGTGGTAGACTTAACAGGCTTGGCTTCTACCCATTTGGTAAAATAATCCGTTGCTACAATGATGAAACAATGTTGTTGGCTGCTGGCTGGATAAATCTTGCCAATGAGGTCCATTGCCCATCCTCTGAATGGCCATGGCTTGACTACTGGGTTCATGGGAACCGAAGGAACCTGCTGGATCGGTCCATGTCTTTGACAAGCTTCACATCCCTTGGA